CGAATTGAAGTTGAATAACACCTCATTATAGCTGAAAATCCGCTTGACGTAATCGCGAAAGCTCTCCCCAGGATATTGATGAGTAGAACGAGAGTCGAATTCGTTCTCTTCCTCAGTTTTCTGAATTCCTTCACGTCGGTTCTCTTCCTTATTTTTCAGCTGAAGAAATTCAGAAGAGAGAAATTGTATATTATGTACAGATCGATATATATATATATATATATATATACACACACACACATATAGATATAAGAACAATAAGAAGACATATAAGAATCTCAAATTAAGTCACACACCTTGTTGTCCAAGCTGTGCAGCACTCCCTTAGATTTTCTTCTTCTTGTTTTTCTTTTCCTTGATTTTGAATGATTGACAGCCTATGGTTTTTGAATAAAAATCGACGAGCCAACATAAATGTAAAAAATAAAAACAAAAACTCCACTGATCCCAAATGCAAATGAGGATTCAGTAAAAATAATAAAAACCTTCTTCTTGTTCTTGTTCTTGTTGTTCGACTTCTTGTACTTCATTCTCAGACGCAGTCTGTGTGGCCGCAGGAATGAATATGACCGCCGTTTGCTGGGTTTGACGGCACTGCAGTGGGCAAAGAGTGTATGTTTAGAGAGAAAAGAGAAAAAAGAAAGTGACTTCTTCTTTTATTTTTTTTAGAAAGAAAAGAAAGGAGTGATTATATATTTGCCTTCATTAATTGATCCGTGCCAAATCATAATCTATGTTTATTATAATATTATCATGCATAAAATTACATTAACACCCATTAACATATTACATCTATATTATTTTTAAATAGGAAGAGTATTCTTTTCAAAAAATAAAAATAAAAAAAAATAAAAAACACACACTATTCTTAATTACAATTATAAATTATTTTTCAAAATAATAAAAAAGAAGAAATATTTACACACTCTCATATCTTTAGTTAACGTTAATTTCATCTTCATAAACCCTAAACTTTTCTCAGCAAATTTTTTATAAATTTCAAGGGCGCCTCTTTACACATATAGAAAAATTTAAATAGACAAAGTTAAAAATAGTAAAATTTATAAAACGTTACAAGAATAACAAAATTTAGTACTAAAATAACGACTATATAATACAATTTAACATTATTTATTATGTAATTACTATGTCATTTTTACTATTTTCGTAATATTGTGACAATTTCTCTAAACTTTCAACTTATCTAGGTATAAAAAAACAACATAAACAAAAAAAAAAAATTTCTTCCTCATTACTAAGCAAAAGGCTGGAATCCTCCTTTATTAAAATTTGTACCTAAAAGAGAATAATGATTAGAAGATATCAAAATCCAGGGCTCATATAGTCCGTAATTCTTAAATACGATTAATTATACGACTGTAATCAACTTAAGTAAAAACCGTAAGGTGTCCTTAAGATAATCTAAAGAAAGAAGCTCTCCAAAATCGGCCTTGAATGTTGGACTTTGACATTTTTAACATAATTTTTTTTTTTCACAATTGCATACAAGTGGTAAAAAATATCATATAATATATTAAAGAAGAAAATTTTAGTGATATATGATTAGGACTAACAAATATGTGATCATAACACTTTATAAAGTAAGACAGACCATTCAAAAAAGTTACAATGCGAGCCACATGATTGGAGAGACAAGCTTCGAGTAAAATCATAGCCACTCTTAACCGATAATATGACTTGAACAACTACGATTAAAAAAAAAGGAAAAAAAAGAAAAAGAAAAAACCATTATTATTAGGAATCTATCTATCTAAGAAATAAAGCATAAAACCAACACACTAGATATCACTTCAAATGCATCCTTATGTTGATATATCTTGAAAATGAAATAAAAAACCTTCGACTTCCGATTTTGATTACCCTAGCCAAGCTTTAATAGCTTCAAAATGTCTTCATCTTCCTCTATCCCCTGCAGATGTTAGGATTGGTAGCTGACCGTTTTCTCTTTCTTTTACGAAGCTCAACAAATCTATGAACGTAGACTTGGGTTTTAAAAGAAATGAAGCCGATGAACCAGTTCGTGGTGTGATGGAAACACAGAAAAAACTTGCATGAGCAGACTTTTAACTTTCTTTTCTTTTTTTTTTCTTCATCATTTGCCATCATACTTGAGTCTAAATAAGGGCTCGTTTAGTTCGCTGATTCGAGTTTTTAATTCGAGTTGAGATGTGACTTTATGTGAGAGTTTTTTACTGTAGCAAAAAAGTTAGATGTGACTGTTTCTGAGAGTTTTTTACTGTAACAAAACTTGAATTCTAAACTCGAATCGGTGAAATGAACATGGTTTAAAATTACGTGGTCATACTTGTTTACTGTTTCAGTTGGGAACTCAAAAAGAATATCTGGTGCAGGTGGTTCTGGGATATTGAGGGTTAAAGAAGATGTCAGGGTCAAGTAGTTGCCTTGTTTTGTGAGGAGGAGGTCGTTTGGTTATTTTCAATATGGGTACATCAGCACAAATGTAGCAGTCTGAAAAACGAGGAGCAAGGGATCACTAAGGGTCAGGGTTCTTTTTGAAAAGCATTTAATACAGACCCACAAGTCTTGCAATAGATTATTTTGAGCTTTCGAGTGTGATTAGTTCCTCATTTTCACCAACTAAGGCAATACAAGCAGAGAGGAGAATGCCAATGTCAGCTTGTTTGCTCGACCAAATATTTCAAGGCATTCGAAGCGTCATAAATAATATAGGATTTGCACCGTAAATATTGAATTTGCTTGTAAATACAACGTAAATATAGGATTTACTAGGATTTACCAAACAGTGCAATTGAAGGATTGACAACATAAATTATTAAAATTCAAGTTATACAACTATTCATATCTAAGCATTGTCTTGAGGGGGTAAATGTTCCTCTTTTTTTTTTTTTTTTTTAAATTAATATGAACAGTGGATATCTGATCGCCATAGAAAATTTAGCAGTGGTTTAAAAACTATCGTAAAAATTGAAATGTTATCGTCGTATTTTTTATGTATACATAGAACGACGTTTGCAAAGACGTTGCCAAATACACTTGGAACAAAACGAGCTCTATGTTAGGATGTTCATCTATAGCATGTTAGAAGTGACATTCACATAATTTTATTGCTTTTTTTTCATTTTTAAATAGCATGCTATGTAGGGGAAATTTTAATCAAGAGACAAAAGTGAAACCATTAGGGAACTAACAATATGGTTGAGGCGTCAAATGTGACCTCCAAAACAAGGTTCATTTTTAGCTTAAGTTGAATTAACAAACAATATACTAATGGCACATAAATTCAATTCTTTTAGTAAAAAAAATTTTCTTCCTTGTTACTAGGCAAAAGGCCAAAATCATCCCTTATTAAAACTTGTTCCAAAAACAAAACAATGATTAGACGAAATCAAAGTCCAGTGCTCATACGGTCCACTAATTCCCTACTACAACTAATTATACGACTATAATCAGCTTAAGTAAAAGCCCTAAGGTGTTCTTGAGATAATTTAGAGAGAGAAGCTCTCCAAAATCTACTTTGACATTTTTAACATCTTCTTTACAATTGCATACAAGTGGAAAATTATAACATATAATATATTACAGAAGAAAATTTAGGTGATATATAATTACTACTAACAAATATGTGATCACAACACGTTACCAAGTCAGACGGACCATTCAAAAAAGTTATAATGCGAGCCACACGATTGGAAAGACTAGCTTCGAGTATATTCATCACCACTCTTAACCTCATTCTTCTGCATGAGGATGTTGGACTTGGTCCATCAGGTGACACCGACAAAGACTTTAACACCTATAACTCCAAATAAAAAAAGGAAAAAAATAATCATTATTATTAGGAATCTATCTATCTAAAAAATAAATGAAACCAACGGACTACATACCACATATATTTTACTTCCTTTATAACGTTTTTTTTAACTATATGGGCTGATTTTTTCATTATTTTCCATAATGATATCGTCATTAAGATAATGAAAATGCGATAGTTTTTTTATTTTTTGTTTTGTTTGTCTGTGGCTTGTTTTATATTTTTACTATAATTTTTTTTCTTAACATAATGAAAATAAACAGAGTGTGATTGCTTGCAAATTTTGTACTCATTCTTTTTCATAATGATACTGTCATTAAGATAATGAAAAGAAAATGCAAAAGGTTTTTTATTTGATTGTCTATAGTTTGTTTAAACCTTTATCATATTTTTCACATTTCTTAACATAATTCAAATAGATAGATTATAGACTCATATTTTCTTGCATTTGATTGCTTCAGATTGTCTGTCAACTTTGTGTTCTTTCTTTTTTATGTTGGTATCATAATCAAGATAATGAAAATGAAAGATTTTTCTTTGAAATAATTAGATTAATTAAATTTAATTGTTTGACTTTTGTATTTAAATTTGAATATTCATTACTATTTTGTTGATTTATTAGTTCTTTTTTCTTTTTTCTTATGTAAGGATATAAATGCCTTTACAAATATGACAATAGGTATTTTTAAAAATAAAATAATAAGTAAACATTTTTAAATTCAAGATGCTCTAAATAGGTATTTCTGTAAATAACCCTTGTCAAAAACACAATTTTTAACTTTTTGTAGAACCACCCTTTATAAATAAGTACTTTAAAAAAAAAAAAAAAAAAAAGTTTGCCGAGCCAAAGATAATGCATTTAATTAACGTTAACTAAAACAATACCCACCAATACTTTGGACACGTATACCATCCAAATACAGTTGGTATAAGAGTATTACATAGATACATCCTCAAAGTGGACTCATTGTAAATTATTCTCCAGCTTATAGACAATTCATTTTGCTTTATCTCCCGCAAAATCTCCCACTAGACTTCAGCCCTATTTAAGCTTCGATACCATAGTACTATCTTCCCATTATAAGAGGAAAGCAAACCATTTCTTTTGCTTATACGCTCTACACTCACAATTACAAACCACAAAAATGCCAGTCTCTATAGCACTAGCCAAGAACCAATCCCCCCCATGTATATGCTGAGCCTGTGGGTTATCGGGCCCGCCAGGGTCACGTGGGAGGTGGCGGCGGTGGCGGTAGCGCTTAGTGCCTTTGTGGTAGCGTTGCCGGAGTCGACGCCCTTGCTATGCAAGAGGATTGCGTTTGGGCAGATTGTGATTGTGTTGTGCATGGGACGCAAACTGGGGCTTTCATGCACCCAATTCACGTGGCTGCGAGTACTGCAGTTGGTGCCTTGGCTTCTCCCTTGTTGTTTCCATTTCCATAATCATATTTTTTGTCACCAAAATACGAATTTGGTAGCACAATCATATTTTTTGCTACTAAAATTTGGTACCAGAAAATTATGTTTTTTATTACCAAACATTATTTTGGTAGCCGAAAGCATATTTTTTGCTACTAAAATTTAATTTGGTAGCAGAAATACATATTAAAAAACTAAAAGAAACACTTTTTGATGACAAATATTATTTTAGACTCATTGTTCTAGTAACATTTTAACAAAAAATATAGTTTTGAAATTGAAATATATTATTCTATGTTAAAAAGTAATCAAATAGTAAGATTATATATTACTCTATGTGGAACATATACTTAATTAACAATATCACACACACACATATATATATATATATACACATGAACATGTCTCTTGCTACACCTACACAAAATTATTAAATGATCAAATAATTGTTATACAAAATATACTAGGATGATTGTTAAAATTTAATATAGGACATATTTATGGGAAAAGAAACAATACATACACAAAATGTAAGTTTTAAAGTTTTTATATGATTTGCTACCAAACACAACTTTTGGTAGCAAAAAACACCTTTTTGTCACCAAAATAAGAATTTGGTAACAGAATTATGTTTTCTCCTACTAAAATTTGGTACCAGAAACTTATATTTTTTGTTACCAAACATTGTTGTAATTTTCCTTGTCTCTCCTATTGCGAGGTATGAAAATGTTTGGTTAATCTTATACCCTAGCTACTTGCCAACATTAATACTATATATTATATACGTATCATTCATTTCTATTATTAGTGCATGAGATATATACGTATTATTCATTTCTGTAATTAGTGCATGAGAGAATTAGTATATTAATAATTTATTAGAATTCTATTTACTAATTTTACGATTAATTAACTAATTCATTAATTACTAATGTTTATTTCATAACCTATTAGTTGATACGTTACACGATCAATTTGTAGTAATTATTCTTTAAATAATTTAATAGCAATTATTAATTATTATTGATTAGCATATATTACAAAACAAATAAGTATAATTTAATATTAATTGAGTAATTATGATTTATATATTTATTAACTATTACTTATTTACTAATTATTATAATTAGAAAATGAAAATGAAGACGAAAAAAAGAAAAAAAAACTTTTAATTGTTTTCTAATTTCTTAATAAAAATCACTTTTATTGTTTTTTATTTTGTTCTAGTTTTAAAAATTATTGTTAAACAAATGCAGTTTATAGATTATATTCATTTTTGTATCTCAAAACACGTACATAATGATTTTTAAAAACAATAAAAAACCAATAGAAACACATCCAAAAAAGTTTCTTTAGAAAATTCAAAATTATTTCAGTGGATATGCTCCCACATTTACCGTGAAAACGATTCATTTATCTACGTAAACTGCTATTTACTTCAAATAGTTTTAAAATTTATTATTTACTTAATTTAGTTTTAAAAATTTACTATTTGCTACAATTTCCTTACTTAATGCATCTTAATGAGGATAGTCTCTTTACTTTCAAAACTTGACTAGTTAAAGAGTTATTTTTGTACCGTTTTAAAAAATAAGAGATGCTTTTTATATTTCTTTAATAAGATGGGAAATGTGAAATTTTAAAATAATATATGAGATGTTTAATTAGGGGAGAAAAAAAAAACCACTGGCATTGAACACATCAACAAAAATAGGACTTTTAATTAATTATCAAACTTTGAATAACGGTTTTAAACTAATATGGAATCACAAGTTTGTTCTAAAACTCCGCCAAATCCTAGTTGATGGTAGTTCCTTCTCCAACGAAATCATCTTCAATCAGGCCTAAACAAAGAAGAAATCACAGTAGAAAAAAAAAAGAGGAGATGAATATGGGTTATCAAACACTCATTACATCATCTTCAATCATGCCTAAACAAAGAAGAAAATACAAAGTCCAAAAATTAAAGGCTTTAATAAATTATAAGTCAGTGGGCACATTTAATGTACATAACCGCATCTCGAAAGTAATTATAAGGTATATATATATATCACTTCCCCATCTAGCTCCGTGGCGCCTTTAGTCCATAACCAACTCCAGATCTAAATGCACAACTGCAAAGATTGAGAGTTATATTGATAAAGCATAGATGTTTAAATTTTTCTTCTTTTGTTGAATCTCTAAACATGAATCGTAACATGTGATTTCTTAAATAAGAAAAAACCTAACCCCAGAAAAGTGTCTAAGAATATCCTCTAAAGTTCAGAGTCAGGTCTATTTGAGTGGTTTAGAATGTAAAATAAAAGTTTTTAAAATTTAAGGAGTAAAATAAGAATGATTACTTACATGATCACTTAAAGTTTAGAGATACCAATAAGACTAATCCTAATTTATATTTAAAAGACAAGAATCTGTGCCAAACTTACACACAGGAGCTCCTATTGATTCTGTTCAATTTAGGTCGTGTTCACTGGGAGACAAACGTTTAGTTCATAGATTAGAATCATAAGATTAGAATCATTTTCGATTTACGTGTATTTTTTGTGAGAGAAAACACTGTAGCGAACTATAAACCATGATTCGAATCGGGATATGAATCGCTTGTCAAAAAAAAAATCCATAAAAAATTGTTAAAATTCATAAAGTGCAGCTAAGGGATAACATATCTATAAGCTCATTCCCCAACATTGACATTCTTGATTCTTTCCAAGGTGTTTCCTAAAAAATAAAAATAAAAATAAATACTAATACCGTGCCTTTTTGTTTTTGTTTTTTTTTTTTGGCGCAATACCATGCACTTTTAAAAGTCACATGGTAATGCCAAATCATATCTTAATAGAAGAAAAATATACAAATTCAACAGAACTTATAAAAAATTCATGGTCTAGAATTAAATATGTATTTAAGTTATCTGTGTATTAATTTTGGCACCAAAATAATATATGATAAATTACAATATGTTAACATTTCAATTTTGCCTCGAAAAAACTATTTTTATTAATCAATGGCCTTAAATTAATTAGATCTCTCCACTTTTATACTTTAAACTGAAATAAATAATTGAGATGCTATTTTGTTTCGCATGTATTGCGTTGAATATAACACAAACTATTGTGCTAATTTATATTAATATTCTTATACATGCTACACATAGCGTTAGCAGGATTCTTGCATTGTTCAAATTCATATTAGCTGTAAAACTCTTTAGCCGAAAAGAAAAAAACTACAAAACTGAAATACTAACATGAATTAACAGATTTCAGTTATTAATTTGTTGTTAATTATTGATTGAGTGCAAAAGGTGAGGAAAGGTTGCAGATTTTATGCTGAAAATGCTTCAAAGAGGCCGAGTAGAGGCCATATCTGCCCAAGACAACACAACTGCTCGTGAATTACTTTCTCAAGAAAAATGTATTTCTAAAGAAGGCGCCAAACTTCTTAAAAGTGTCAAAGAAAATCTGGTAAGCTATCAACATGAAAATGATAAATGTATTTATGTCAACAAAATCTGCTAGTTTAGTAAAATTAAAAATCATCGTTTTGTCCTAGCTTTTTTAATCCTAACAAGCTAAAGTTGAGTTTCACAGTGTGTGGCAAAACTGGTTTTTAATAATTATTTTCTTTAGGTTAATTGCGAAAAAATCTCCTTTATGCCCCCCCTTTCTTTTTTTCCATAAATAACCTTCTCTGGATACTACAATTGAACGCCTTATAATTTGGTCTCTCTTTGCATATCTAATTCTCGTATATGGTAAGAGTGGGAAAGTTATTAAAACGTCAAATTTACCCTTATCAAAATGTCTAAGAGATACTATCCAAACAACTAGCATCAATTTATTTGCAGAAAGCTAAAAACTAAGGTTCGAGTATAATTACAGTACCTGCACAATATTATGGCTTTCAATAGATTTTAATAGTAACAAAGAGAATACATGCGTAAATATAACTTTTTATGTAAAATTTTAGTTAACAAGTGCTGACCACATAATTATCTTTACTAAATTTTAGAAATCGTTCGCTAATTTTACTATCAGGGATCAAAACTATCCAAAAAAAAAAAAAAAATAGAAGTTTTAAGGACTAATATGTTTTAATTAAAAGTTTAGGGACCAAAACGTCATTATGCTCAAAGTTTAGAGATTGTGAGTAAGGATGAGCATTTTATCCGTAGGCGCGGGTACTCGCAAGTACCTACATCGAATAGGGCGGGTATGGGGTTATTTAATGGAGATAGGGGTGGGTATTGCGGTTTATATTGTCTCCCGGATCAAAAGCGAGACAGGGGCGGGGGAAGTACCCCACTCGCCCCGCCTGATATACAAATATATATATTTTCAATACAAATATATATCATATATTGTAATAGTACTTAAAAAATATGGATTTTAAAAAAATTTAAAAGTATTTTACTATTTTAAAAATCCTAATAATTTCTAAATTTTTCTTATAAATAACAAAACCAAATGGATTAGTTATTTTTATAGCTTGGATTTTCTTTTTAAACCTTGGTTTGTTTCATGATATATTAATGTTATGTTGATCAATTTTATATTCATTTTGATGTAATTTAGTAAGTGTTAATATTGTAGTAATATTTTTTCTTATTAGGTAAATGGGTAAGGTATAGGGAAAATCTACCCAATAGGGATTCCCCGGACCCGATCCTTACCCCGACTATGCAGGTATGGGGTAGGAATCGGGTTCAAAAGTGAAAGTGGGAGCAGGGGTGGGGGAAGTATACCCGACTATGTTCTGCCCGATGCTCATCCCTAACTGTAAATGTTAATTACCCTAAAAACTATTGTATTTTGATTATCAGCTTAAAAATGGTAATTTACACAAATGGTCCCTAACCTCTTTAGTAAGTGACAGTTTGGTCCCTAATCTTTCTGTTTGGCAAATCTACCCTCAACCTCTTTAAACGGGTGCAATTTGGTCCTTTCGGTCAAATTTTTAATAGATTCCCGCATGTGAGCATCACGTGCCGTCTATTTTCAATTAAGAGACAGGGGCAGGGATTCCCGCATGTGAGAATGCAATTATGAAACCTTAATGGAAAGCGGCAATTGAAAAAAGAAGGCTATGGGTGTGAGGTTTTAATGGCATTTTTGTCTTTTAATTGAAAAAAGAATGCACGTGATGCTCACATGTGAGAATCTGTTAAAAATTTAACGAAAAAGACGAAATTGCACCCGTTTAAAGAGGTTAGGGGTCGATTTGCCAAATAAAAAAATTACGGACCAAACTGTTACTTACTAAAAAGGTTGGGGGACCATTTATGTAAATTACCCGCTTAAAAATAAAGAAAAGAAATAAAAACTTCAAGTTACGCCCCCCCA